CGCTAGTGACATCACTTGCAGTCTTTTATTTTTTTAAATTTTGTTCTATTTATTGATTACTTTTTGTTTGAATCGCTCAACATTTTACAACAGTAGACAGGTGGTGAAGACAAGAAAAAAGAAACTAAATTACAATGTCACTTGCAATCGCCACTTGCACTCTCCGCTACCTACGACGTCACTTGCAATCGACACAAATCGTGCGTGTTGCCAATGGAGACAAGATGCTGTGGTGGTGTTTAAACGATTAAAGCCAATTTAGTACTATAACATACAGGGTCCTGCAAGAAAAAGACACAACCCACAAATCCGTCGCCACAGAACAGCAGAATATGAACGCATTAAAACTAATTTAGCACTATAACATACAGGGTCCTGCAAGAAAAAGACACAACCCACAAATCCGTCGCCACAGAACAGCAGAATATGAACGCATGCACAAAGTCTGTTGTTAAGCATTTTCCTCCTGTAGAAAAACATAAACACTTAACATGGCGTAATGTATTAAGATACATTAAGTTCAATTAAAAGATCAAATTCGATATATAGTTATTATTTAATGTACTACAAGGCAAAAATATGGCTATGAACACAATGCGCAAACTTTCACTTGTCCTCCCATACAGAAAAACGCTTAATGTTGTATAATAACGGACTATGATAAAGACAATACAGTAGCCTATATGTCTTGTTGTTGACTCAAAGTATATACAGACCAACAAATATGAACGTGCATTTTGAAATGCATTAAGTGATTTTAAAAGGATCAACTCCGTACAGACAAGCAGACGAGCCCAGAACGCTAAGCGTTAAATTGCACGTTAAACATTTTCCTCCTATAGAAAATCATTATAAATAAAACACGTAATGTAGCTTAATGGACAAAGACAATGATATAAAAGAGCTGTAGACAGTTTATTCTATATGGAAAATATACGCGAAACTGTGCGTGTTGCATTTATTCTAGAAGTCCCCCCCCCCCCAAAAAAATACTTGGAGAAATGTAGGGGGTTGTATTCGGGGCCTGGAGCCCTCCCTGGGCTGAATGGGGGATCAGGAGCCCTCCCTGGGCTGAACGGGGGATCTGGAGCCCTCCCTGGGCTGAACGGGGGATCAACAGGAGCCCTTCCTGGGCTGAACTGGGGAACAGGAGCCCTTCCTGGGCTGAACTGGGGAACAGGAGCCCTTCCTGGGCTGAACTGGGGAACAGGAGCCCTTCCTGGGCTGAACTGGGGAACAGGAGCCCTTCCTGGGCTGAACTGGGGATCAGGAGCCCTTCCTGGGCTACACTCGGGGACAGGAGCCCTTCCTGGGCTGAACCAAGAAACAAAAACTTTCAAAAAGACAGGGAAAACCAAACGCGAGGAAAAAAATCGCCGCTCACTTTCAGTTTTGGGTCCGCTGTTCTGTCACAATACACTTAGAGGAACGAGGAGACGCTGGAGATTACTTTAACAAGACTTTATTGTCATGCACCAAGGGAGACGAACTCGGGAAGACGTTTAACAGTGGACCGAGAACTAGGGACTGGGAACACTTTAAATACAAATTAAATAAAGACAAATGAACTTAATCAGGACAGGAACAGGAAACTAACCAGATAAGGGCATAGGAAGGCACACGGGGAGCAAGACACACACAAAACATGGAACAGAGTCTGACAACATGAAGCCATGTTAAGTGTTTATGTTTTTCTACAGGAGGAAAATGCTTAACGAGAGACATTGCGCATGCGTTCATATTCTGCTGTTCTGTGGCGACGGATTTGCCTACAATAACTTCAAAATAGCGGTATTTTCTGGACAAATACAAATCTTTAAAGCCATTTTTATAAGTTTCACAGTCTAGTGACTTTCACACTCTGGAGCAGAGTGGCAGTCCACCTGTCACTCAAGTGGCCATGCCCTTAATTATGCAGAACTTTAAGGCTTAATATAATTTAAACGGATGAGTTATAAAAAAAATTCACCCCCCTCACAGTTGTCATGAAGGGCAAAATTACCTATATAGACCAAAAGCACTTTTTGTACCAGGCTGTAAACATTTTTTTCTGCTGTAAAGTTGGGCATTTTAACATGGGGAGTCTATGGGACTGACTCCCTTTTGGAGCCTCTAGCGGTCAGTCGATGAATTGCAGTTTTAGTCACTTCCGTATTGGCTTTAAGCGAGAGACCGGGAGGTTGCCGCTTGCTCTCACCAGAGATGCATGACAGAGAGAGAAAGAGAGAGAGAGTGAAAGAGAGTGTGCTTGTGATTTTTATATGGTAAAGCTGGTGAAAAATTTCTACTGCAATCTGAAAAATCAGATCAGGGTTTAGTAATTATGGAGATAGAATTGTTGCTTAATTCCAAATAAATAGATTACGATCCATAAATAAATGTAAAGAGATTAACAAACATTAAACATACTGACAAATAAATAGAATGAGATCCACAAATAAATCTTAAAAGTTTCACAAACATGAATTAAATTCACAAATAAATAAAATGAGATTTGCAAATAAAAAAACATATTCACAAATGTATATTTGTGTCACAACCACAACTTTGCCTGGCATTTATTTGTGAATCGCGTCCTGTGCATTTGTAGATAGCTGCATGCATTTGTGAATCGCGTCCTGTGCATTTGTGAATTGTGAAACATTTCTTGCATCAAGACGTGCTGACAATCCACAAATATGTGGACTCCACCCATCGTCTACTCAAGCCAATCAGATAACAGCCACATTTCACTGACCAATCGTAGTACGATCTCGCTATAGCCAATCAGCTTTTTGCTTTACAATCAGGGTGGTCTCGTCCTGAGATAACTTCATTCTTCTGCATTGGCTCAAATAGGTAATATCAAAGCCATAAAAGGGGTACAGTAAAAGATGTTTAAAATTGGATTTTGTTAGACCATTAGACTGTGTATCATGCCAACCAAGCCACAGTATTTTATGTTACGTGCCTTAAAAAATGCATTCTGATTATTTGTGGGTGGATAAAATAAATCATAAATGATGCAAATATTAACTACATTTTCTAAAATAAATTTTTTCATCAGGCAGACTATTTCATTTGTGTGTGTGTGTTCGCCTGATCGGGAAGTTGCAGTGACAGAAACGGTGACATTCCAGATAAAGTTTGAAAGAAGTAAAGCCTGTGTTAATGCTATTGAGTAGGCTAATAAGGCCAAAGAAGATATTTTGTTTAATATATAAATATATATAATATAAAATATATAAATAAATGTTAATTTAAAAGCAGCCCACGATCCGCGTATTATGTTACCGTTACCCCTTACGGCTCTGACAAGGTTTTGTTCCATCCTCCACGCTGTGACAACTCACAAAAGACTATTTTTAACCAAGCAATGCGGAGAGCCGCTTCAGAAACGTGCCGCGGCTGGCCGGTATAAACACAAGCATTGACTAGAGCGGCCGCGATCAGCTCCGGTTCCCGTGGAGCCTTAAGACACGTGCATTGATGCGCAGATCAGCTCTAACGTCACTGAATCTGCTGTTAAAAATGAACCATCCATTCATCATATCATCATGTAAAACATGCACGACAAATAGTGAATTTTTCATTGTTTTCACTTTTCAGCTGCTGCAACTACATGAACTACATCTGAGAGACAAAAAATGCAAACTCAATTAAAAACTCAAATAATAGCAAACCACAGCTGCCCCCTACTGGATGTAGATAAAAAAAGCCATAGCAGGAAAAAAAACTAAAAAACATTTGTTTTGCATGTCATATGATTTAATAGTAACACTTTCGCTTTCAAATAAATTGAATGGATGGATACTCTAATACTTTATACTATAGTAAAATGTAGTAAACGAAATTCAGAGGTCCAAAATGAACCATTAAAAAAATAAACAAATTTTTTTTCTCTGAATGACTAATCATTTGTCAGATGATAATTATTTTCCATGTATGTATGTTTTTTCCCTCTTTAGAAACCTGCCATATTATTTTAGACATCCATGTAGTCATTGTTGAAAATCTGTCATGAATGAACATAGAAATACATCATGCTCTTATACATCAATATTTTGTGTTAACAGCAATATAAATTTAGTCTGAACTGTAGAAATGATTGTCTCCATTGAAACCAATGAAACTGCTCTCAGGCCGTTTTGAGTTTGCAGTTTGATTAAAATTCAGGTTTGATCTGATTATAGTAGTTTTATAACAATTTTCAAAAGTCAAGTTGTTATCTAATATAACACCCAGGTCTTTGACTATATAGAGAAAAAAGTAACAGTACATCTATCTGGATGCAAAAAACTGTATTCTAAGAGCTTCTGTGTACAGGTTTTGGGTCCAAATTAAGTAATGTCTCTGTCTTATATAAGTATTATATGAAGTTAACATTTTTGGCAGTCATTATTATAATATCTTAAAGGAATAGTTCACCCAAAAATTACATTTGTTGAAAATTTACTCAACCTCAGGTCATCCTGAGGTCGATGTACATGAGTTTATTTCTTCATCAAAACAGATTTGGAAAAATGTAGCATTACATCACTTGCTCACCAATGGATCCTCTGCAGTGAATGACTTTAGTTATAATAATAATAATAATAATAATAATAATAATAATAATAATAATAATAATAATAATAATAATAATAATAATAATAATAATAATAATAATAATAATAATAATAATAATAATAATAATAATAATAATAATAATAATAATAATAATAATAATAATAATAATAATAATAATAATAATCTTGTAAAAAGCATAGAAAGTGTAAATATGTAAAGACATGTAGAAGAACAAAATATTTATTAATGTAAAATGCATAGGATGCATATAAAATGTATTAATTCATTTTGCACACAATTTCATCAAAATTACAAATGAGGAGAAAGCAATACCTGATTTCAAGAATAAACTAGCATAGTAAAATGTTTTTTTTTTACATTGTGATTAAAATATGATGTAGATTAAATGTAAATATATAAATGAAATCATTATTTTACTTTGTTGAGAGAATTTTGTTATGATTTTGAAAGAGTATTACAGTTCAGCATGCAGAAAATCATTTGATCAATCTGAATTGATTAATTGATTGGTTGTCCGTTCTTTTCTCTTTAGAAACTCTGACGTCCTCTTATACATCAGTATAGTCATTATCTGTCCCAGTATTGATTGAACCTGTTGAAACAAATGCATTCTGCTGAGGGCACAGAGTGCTAACTGTGTTGTGTCGAGCAGCATAAATGTGGCAAAACACACTAAACTTGTGAAAACTCATCTAGCAGCAGAATCAGAGTCACATGTTAGGAGCAAGTGAGGTCTAGGTGTTACTTTAACTCTATTGTAATCTGTTTGCTTGTTCTTTGGAGCTTGTAGCCGTTATATATAACCAGATGCTATAACAAATTTTGTATAGTTTTATGTGTGCATTTGAATATTAGACCTGAAAATGAGTTGTTTGGATGAAACGCACACCTTTAGCTTTGCTCTTAACGGTGGTCACGATCACTGCTGCAGTCATGATGAAGAGACCAACAGCAATGAAGGAGAAAATGGTGATGTAGAATGAAGATACTCCTTCATAATGATGATCCAAGCAATGAGTATCTGCAGCAAAATCTGAAAGAAAACACAGGCAACATGTATTGTATGTACTGAACAAATGCACAGTTACATGTTTTGAGACACAGGCCACATACAGTATGATACTGAAAGCTGGGTGTGAACTTAATAAATCATTTAATAATATTAATAAATTAATGAACATGAAATAATGAGCCTATGCAAGTACTGCTTCTTAAGCCATTACAAGGAAACCTCATTAAATACTCAACAGGACAAGAAAAAAAATCTATATTTTAAAGTGTTTAGATTATATTGACATACATGTCCAACATGCCAGCAAAACAGCTACTTTTAAATTATACAGTAGTTTCAGTATATTTTACCTGACAGGCTGTATGTGTAGGTCTCACTCTGACGGTTCACAACAGAATTAATCTGGTGTATGCAGGTGAAGGAAACCGGTGGACTCACTTTCACATCAAACGCACACACGTCATTTGAAAAGCACCGTGGGTTCTTTAAGGCATAGTTGTATTCACTCTTCAGTAACAGCTGGAAAGAGCTCTCAGTGAGCCTCCTTCCAAATGAACACATGACGATCACACGCTCTCTGTCCTCCATCTGCCTGAAAACTGTAATATTTGGCACTGGGACATCTGAATTATGTCCATCTGAGCAACACAATTATTAATTACAAACTGTTTTCCAAACTGACATATTTTTGTATTGCATATTTATTTAAATGTTGATGAGTAAGGAAGTAGGAAATGAGACGTACTCTGAATGCGCCAAAATGGTGCTGTGATATTTGAAAGAATAAAAAAAAGAAATTAAACATAAAAACTGTTGTTGTTTAAAAGTAAAATACAGTTATTAATTTAATAGACAACATTATCAATACAACAGTATGAATCTGCTGACTTACTCTGCGTCTGGTAATACACATTCCTCCTGTAGGGGGTTTGAGCTTCAATAAAACAAAGACAGACACACAGTACACTGAACAGCTGAATATATGAGCATGAAATAACAAACCCATACTATTATACCACTGTATTACTGACATTACACTCTTACAAGGAAACCTCAAATGGGACAACAAATGAATTGTGCTAAATCTAATGCCTGTATATACTGTATTATTTATAATTTGAGACATATCATGTCTAATTAGAACCTTATTTAGGATTCAGTGTTTCCCATGCATTGAATTATTTGTGGCAGCCTGCCACAATATCAAAACTGACCACCACAAATAGATTTTCCAAAAGGCTTTGACTTCATTAAATAAACTTGAGCACTGCACGTTTCAAAATCAAATCATGTAATGCCTTATAAAGCAGCATTTGTGAGCGGAGCGCTGCTTTGTGTACAGCCGTTACTGGGGAAACCTCTATTTCTCCTGCTGGCAGAGAATGAATGATTGGTTGAGAACCATGAGATATTGTACTGGTATCGCTACAGGAACGCCCTTTCACAATTTTTTTTTATCACTCCACTTGTTCTAGCCGGGATGATGAAAATTACAGGCCTCTCTCATCTTTTTAAGTGGGAGAACTTGCACAATTGGTGGCTGACTAAATACTTTTTTGCCCCACTGTATATTGCCGTAGTCATGTGTTTATTAGTCACGTTGAATCAATAAAAGCAGTTGAATCTTCTGTTTATTCAGCTGCAGTGATAGGCATTTTCTGGGTTTCTTCTGTGAGGCGTATTTGGAGTTTCAGCGCGAGAGCGCCCTCTGGCCTTCGGATGGATATTTACTGCTGATCACAGAACCGTGCTTCACTGAAAGATATGCATGACAATCGCAGCTTCTGTCGAATCGTGATCTCGATTCCATTTCGATTTATCGTGCAGCCCTAGCCGAGTCTATGTTTTTTAAAAATAATTATTCACTGAGCTAATCGTAGAGTACGTTAGTTAATATAAGAAGAAACGTCTAGCTTCGCGGTCTCTCTCTCTCTCATTTGGATGCACGTCTTGCCGGATTGTTTCTCTCTTATAACTTCATTATTTATCACTAATAAACTAACTGAAGCAGCACATGCCCTTGATACGAATTCTAAAAGTGACGTATGTTTAACTGTCAACTTGAGCTTTGAATCCGTGGCAGAAGGAAGTAGTTCTGCACAAAAGAGGGTTTTATTAGGCACTCCGTTGTTTCTTGTTTAATTACACACATGTTCCATCGAACTATTGTATAAACGCAAAATCACTCTCGTACTCGAGCGATACCGGCTTTATATCAGCGGCTGTGATTGCCTCCGGCACTCGGCCAGCGGCCTCATGCCTCTGGCCTAATTACAACCATGCTGATATAGAGGCGGTATCGCTCGAGTGATATTGCTCATATATATATACACCCCCGGGGGAAGTGAGTGTACACATATACACATAGAGTGTAAGTCTGTGGGTAACACTGAGGATTTAAGAATATTGTCAGAAAAGTACCTTAACTAATATTGTAAAAAGTAGAGGTTAAAGTGATAGCTTGACATTTCATAAGAAAAAAAACTTTTAAGAGCAATATTATGATGAAAAAAAAGCATTAATATTAGTGTTGGGCAATCCAAATATAAATTAGCATCCAAAATAAAAGTTTTTGTGTACATAATATATGTGTGTGTACTGTGTATGTATATATTTAAGAAAAGTATGTTATGTTTATATATTAAATATATTTATTTAATATAAATTATATGAATATAAATATGTAAATACATGTAAATATTTTCAAAATATCCTGTATTTGTGTGTATTTATATATACATAATAAATATAGGTACACAGTACACACACATATATTATGTACACAAAAACTTTTATTTTGGATGCGATTAATCATGATTGATTGTTGCCCAGCACTAATTAATATGCATCAATACAACATTGTAAATGTACTGACTTGTCGCATAGTAATACGGTTTCCTCCAAAAGGGGGCTTGAGCTTTAAGAACATAAAGAGATTTTTACACAGTTTTAACATTTACTAAATTAAATAGTAATGTTAAATGCTAGTAAGGTTTATTATTTTAAAAAATCAGTTATCTTACTTTATTAGCCAACATTATGCATCAGTGCAACAGTGTTTCCCCTAGGGTTATGGCTTTGGAGGAGTGTGTGTGTATATACAAATGTAAAAATGTATTTACATTTTTCTGTTTATCAAATGAAGGCATAAAACATTAATTTAATTAATTACATTTTTTAATTAATGAAAATTAAACATAAATTTTTTTGGCAAATAAAGGGGATTTAATATTACAATTAAAACATTGAAGAAATATTGTATGATTATTCCTTAAAAATAAGTTTTTAATAATTTGGTAAGGATGATCATGAGAAAAACATTGGTAACACACTACATCGCAATGGACTGAAATCCTGCAGTGCCCGCAAGGTCCCCTTGCTCAAGAAGGAACATGTACATGCCCGTTTAAAGTTTGCCAAAGAACATCTAAATGATTCAGAGAAGGCTTGGGAGAAAGTACTGTGGTCAGATGAGACCAAAATTGAGCTCTTTGCATTAACTGGACTCGCTGTGTTTGGAGGGAGAGAAATGCTGAATATGACTCTAAGAACACCATACCTACAGTCAAGCACGGAGGTGGAAACATTATGCTTTGGGGCTATTTTCTGTTAAGGGTACACCGCATTGAGGGGCAAATGGATGGGGCCATGTACTGTAAAATCTTGGACGAGAACCTCCTTCCCTCAGCCAGAACACAGAAGATGGGCCATGGATAAGTCTTCAAGGATTACAATGTCCCGAAACATGCTGCCAAGGCAACAAAGGAGTGGCTCAAGAAGAAGCACATTAAGTTCATGGAGGGGTCTATAGCCAGTCTTCAGACCTCAATCCTATAGAAAATCTGTGGAGGGAGCTGAAACTTCGAGTTGCCAAACGACAGCCAAGAAACCTTAAGGATTTAGAGAGAATCTGTAAAGAGGAGTGGATCAAAATCCCTCCTGAGATGTGTGCAAACCTGGTGACCAACTACAAAAAACGTCTTACCTCTGTGCTTGCCAACAAGGGTTTCTGCACCAAATACTAAGTCATGTTTTGCTTTGGGACCAAATATTTATTTCACTCACTGAAATGCAAATCAATTTCTAACCTTTACATAATGTGTTTTTCTGGATTTTTTGGTTGGTATTCTGTCGCTATACGTTAAAATAAACTTACCATAAAAATTACAGACCCTTCATTTTTTGTAAGTGGGCAAACTTTCAAAATCAGCAGGGGATCAAATAATGTTTTCCCCACTGTATTTATGTCCTCATTTAGTGAGACGGCAGACGTTAATATCACAGCAACTGTCACACGCTTCAGTACGAGTAGTAAACAAAACCGCGCATCTGACGAGTAGTAAACAAAACCGCGCATTCATTAACACAGAGACAAGTAGAATTCATATTTGAATAGTCTTTTTGCGGCTTAATATTACAAATACTAGTGGGAGTGGGAGTGTGCTCACCACTGTGTATGCGTGCATGTGTGTGTGTGTGTGTGTGTGCGCATGTGCGCAGCGTAGCAGAACTCCGCTGTGCGCGATACAGAGAGCAGAGGAGAATTGTAAAAACTGACCATGTAATTTAAAGATAGAAATGAAATGCCGTCGTGTAAATAAGATAAATAACATAAGGCTATTTAGTTTGTTTAATAAAAGAACAGGATATAGAACTGTTCTATAGGAAAGGTAACTTTAAATGACTTCTGTTGTGATCTGGCACTATTAGTGGTGGAATGGTTCACAGAAAAAAATCGAACCGTACGGTTCTCCACACACGGTTCGGCACGTGCTAGGACCGCGGTTCAACTTAAATCCGACAACGCATCTGTAATATGGTTTGCTATAAATAACACGTAAAACAAACAGGGTTCGGCTGTTTCTGTTGATGGATGCGCATTCTGGCTTCCCAGTACATTACAACAACAGCGATGAGAAAAAAACAACAACAAAAAAACAACCGTGGACAAACCATTCACTCTTGTTCAACGCGAGTGCTGTATGCTGGAATATGAGCAGCCATTTATTCCGTCATCACCTGAGTGCTGATAGCGCGCGCACAGGTGAGACCTGAACAGCACACGTTGATATCTGTGTTTAAACTAAACTCATGTAAGCTTTGCCAGTTTAAACATTTAAGAGCCAGAGGACGCGAGCTCGCGCGTGCAGTGAGAAGATTTGTGCGTGCGCTCATCCGAAGCCTGCAAACCCGCGCCTCAGAACGCGCTCAAATATTAAGCTCTCTCTGAAGTATTGTGTTTAAATGGACAAATTCACACAAACATTATGTCAAAATGCCCGTCTTGGTAAGTATCCTATAGCAGACATAGCCAGCTGAACGTACTGGATCAGTGCATTCTCTTAAAATGACAGCACTTTCTTAAAATTAATCAAACAGCAACAACAAAGAAATCACTCACTGCTCTTGATTGAATAGCTTTTGTAACTTTAATAAAGATTAATCTTTAATTTATACAGTCAAGAGAAATGCTGACTATGACCCCAAGAACACCATCCCTACAGTCAAGCACGGAGGTGGAAACATTATGCTTTGGGGCTATTTTCTGTTAAGGGTACACCGCATTGAGGGGCAAATGGATGGGGCCATGTACTGTAAAATCTTGGACGAGAACCTCCTTCCCTCAGCCAGAACACAGAAGATGGGCCATGGATAAGTCTTCAAGGATTACAATGTCCCGAAACATGCTGCCAAGGCAACAAAGGAGTGGCTCAAGAAGAAGCACATTAAGTTCATGGAGGGGTCTATAGCCAGTCTTCAGACCTCAATCCTATAGAAAATCTGTGGAGGGAGCTGAAACTTCGAGTTGCCAAACGACAGCCAAGAAACCTTAAGGATTTAGAGAGAATCTGTAAAGAGGAGTGGATCAAAATCCCTCCTGAGATGTGTGCAAACCTGGTGACCAACTACAAAAAACGTCTTACCTCTGTGCTTGCCAACAAGGGTTTCTGCACCAAATACTAAGTCATGTTTTGCTTTGGGACCAAATATTTATTTCACTCACTGAAATGCAAATCAATTTCTAACCTTTACATAATGTGTTTTTCTGGATTTTTTGGTTGGTATTCTGTCGCTATACGTTAAAATAAACTTACCATAAAAATTACAGACCCTTCATTTTTTGTAAGTGGGCAAACTTTCAAAATCAGCAGGGGATCAAATAATGTTTTCCCCACTGTATTTATGTCCTCATTTAGTGAGACGGCAGACGTTAATATCACAGCAACTGTCACACGCTTCAGTACGAGTAGTAAACAAAACCGCGCATCTGACGAGTAGTAAACAAAACCGCGCATTCATTAACACAGAGACAAGTAGAATTCATATTTGAATAGTCTTTTTGCGGCTTAATATTACAAATACTAGTGGGAGTGGGAGTGTGCTCACCACTGTGTATGCGTGCATGTGTGTGTGTGTGTGTGTGTGCGCATGTGCGCAGCGTAGCAGAACTCCGCTGTGCGCGATACAGAGAGCAGAGGAGAATTGTAAAAACTGACCATGTAATTTAAAGATAGAAATGAAATGCCGTCGTGTAAATAAGATAAATAACATAAGGCTATTTAGTTTGTTTAATAAAAGAACAGGATATAGAACTGTTCTATAGGAAAGGTAACTTTAAATGACTTCTGTTGTGATCTGGCACTATTAGTGGTGGAATGGTTCACAGAAAAAAATCGAACCGTACGGTTCTCCACACACGGTTCGGCACGTGCTAGGACCGCGGTTCAACTTAAATCCGACAACGCATCTGTAATATGGTTTGCTATAAATAACACGTAAAACAAACAGGGTTCGGCTGTTTCTGTTGATGGATGCGCATTCTGGCTTCCCAGTACATTACAACAACAGCGATGAGAAAAAAACAACAACAAAAAAACAACCGTGGACAAACCATTCACTCTTGTTCAACGCGAGTGCTGTATGCTGGAATATGAGCAGCCATTTATTCCGTCATCACCTGAGTGCTGATAGCGCGCGCACAGGTGAGACCTGAACAGCACACGTTGATATCTGTGTTTAAACTAAACTCATGTAAGCTTTGCCAGTTTAAACATTTAAGAGCCAGAGGACGCGAGCTCGCGCGTGCAGTGAGAAGATTTGTGCGTGCGCTCATCCGAAGCCTGCAAACCCGCGCCTCAGAACGCGCTCAAATATTAAGCTCTCTCTGAAGTATTGTGTTTAAATGGACAAATTCACACAAACATTATGTCAAAATGCCCGTCTTAGTAAGTATCCTATAGCAGACATAGCCAGCTGAGCGTACTGTATGAGTGCATTCTCTTAAAATGACAGCACTTTCTTAAAATTAATCAAACAGCAACAACAAAGAAATCACTCACTGCTCTTGATTGAATAGCTTTTGTAACTTTAATAAAGATTAATCTTTAATTTATACAGTCAAATATGCAATGCTGTTTTACATTTCATTATTTTATTCAATTTCTGTACCTAAAAACTAATGTTAGATCTACCTAAAAAACCTGAAAAGCACTGTTTATTTTATTTGTATCTTTACTCTATTGTATTATTTGTGCTGTTGCTTGTAGTTAGATTATTCTTATTT